GAAATTCTGCCACTTCCCTAGCTTCAGATGAGGGCTATTAACTCGGATGTAGTGCATGATGCACGTCAGCTCTCTGTGCGCGAACGCCTCTTGAAGTGATGCTGAAGACCGGGGTTCGACTCCCCGCATCCGAATGAAGGCTTTCTGTGCTTTTCCGTTTTTGTTGAAACCCTGAGCACTTACTATATACGACTGGGTAGTGGGCCAGTTGGGGTAGTGGGCCACTTGGAGAATTTAAGCAGTATCATTAGAGAATAGGGTGATTTGATGCTTGTGGGATGGAGCAAGATGTATGAGGATGTCGGACATCAAATTTTGACTGGGAGTGATGCGCTGATCAGAAGCTGTGCCCCGTTTGTTCCTGAGGGGCCGGTGGGAATTGATCGATTCTTATCTCCGAACGGCTCCCACACTCTTCCTCTGCCCATTTCTCAGCCAATTCTCGACCAATTCACAAGTTTGAGGTCCCATCTTGTTGCCTCTACGCAGGGGGATGCTATCAAAGGACCCTGGACCCTGCAATCATCCGGGATTCCCTCTCCAACCGTTCAAGAATGGCGAGAACTGATTTTGCCTGGCCCAAGACAGAATCCTCTATAGTGATCCACTCAACACTGCTAGGGCTTTGGAACCCCGTACTTTGATGGCAGACCACACCTGAGTATCCTCAAACCTCTCTTTGGTCCACTGCCATTCGGCTACACCTTCAGTGTGGCTGAGTTTCCCGGACCACCCACTTTTGTTGCCGCGCATAAATGGATTTTGTTTGGGCGGATATTGGTATGAAAGCGCCATTTATCGTACTCAGGTATGTGTAATTACTTCCTATCTACCCTTCTAATACCTCTCTTTGGCCAAGATCGGCCTCTCTGCGTTGTACTACACGCGATTTCGTCGATACATCAGTTTTCCCCGTCCACCTCGCCAGAAGTGCTAGTAATTACAATCCTTATACATTTTGAATCCAAAGTTTGAGTGTTCCACATTATGCCTACGATCCTCATGAGTGATTCTGAGTGCTTCCGGTTGCATGGTACGAGTCCCAACAACGAATTTAGGCCAGTGGCCCACTACCTAGTTCATTGCCATTTTGGGGTGGCCCGAAAAATAAATTCGTTGAGCCGTCAAAGCACTGCCGAAAATTGGCCGAAAATATCTGATCTTACTCTTGGTATGTCAGTCCTAATCTAAGGGTCAAAAGCCAAGGATATATTGCGCTCTATGGGCAGGCCAGCGGTCAAAAGTGCTAAAGTGGCCCAGTACCCGGTGACTAATAGTACCCAACTCCAAATGAAGGGGAATAACTCGGATGTGGTGCAAGGCGCACCTCAGCTCTATATACATGTGTGAGCAAATACGAGAAGCTGAAGACCGGGGTTCGACTCCCCGCATTTGAATAGTATTGGTCAAGTGATTTTTTTTTCAAAGGCATGCCCATGCTAAAATTTCGGCTACTTACCCAACTCCATATGAATGATAATAACTCGGATGTGGTGCACAGTGCGCATCAGCCCCTTGTTATTCTCTTGATTCTGAAGAACGGGGTTCGACTCCCCGCGTCCGAATGACGCCTTACTGTTTCAGAGTGGATTTTTGCCCCCCAAGTTGAGATTTTCGCACTTCCCCGACTCCAAATGATACAGAATATCTCGGATGTTGTGCACTGCGTACATCACCTTCTCTTAGTATTTGTTCCAAGATGCAGGCTGAAGACCGGGGTTCGACTCGCGTCCGAATAACACAGTACCATTATCATGTCTGTGAATTGAAACCCTTAAATATCTCCCACTTACCCAACTCCAAATGGTATTAAATAACTCGGATGTGGTGCACGGTGACTCATTGGCTCTTACTTGCCCTGGGGTTCTACCCGCATCCGAATGGTCTGGGTGCTTCAGATTATCTTTTTTTTTCAATCATGCTCATGCCAGGGCTGAAGTAACACTCACCTACTTAACCAGCTCCAACTGGTGCATAATATCTCGGATGTGGTGCACATCAGCTTCACGTAGTGTATTCTCATAATGCGAAAGGTTGAAAGTCGGGTTCGACTCCCCGCATCCGAATACCCGGTGACAAGTGGTTTTTTTTCAAAGGCATGCCCATGTTAAAATATTGCCCACTTACCCAGCTTCAGATGAAGGGAAGTAAGTCGAATGTGGTGTACGGTGCACGTCTGCTCCTTGTCAATGTCCCTTCCAACTGGAAGGTTGAAAGCCGGGGTTCGACTCTCCGCATCGAATGATGTTGCGGGTTTTGAGTTTTTTTTTTCAACGCCGTAGATTGCTACTACTTACCCAGGCTCAAATGAAGGGAAATAACTCGGATGTGGTGTATTGTGCACATCAGCTCCTACTATATGTTAGGTGATCCAGTGAATGCTACAGAACAGGGTTCGACTCCCCGCATCTGAATAAAGCCTCTCTCGCACTTCTTTTTTTTTTTGCCACATCCATGCTAAAATAATCCTACTTACCCACCTCCAAATGGTAGCGAACAACTCGGATGTTGTGCACGGTGCACTCAATAGTAGCTCTTCCAATTTGTAATTGGTAAGCTGAAGACGGGGTTCGACTCCCCGCATCTGAATAAAAGAGCAATCTTGTTCTTTTTTGCTTCTTTTGTGCCGAAATATTCTCATTTACCCAGGTTCAAAGGATAAAGAAAAACTCGGATGTGGTGCACGGTGCGCGTCAGCGACCACTAGCTTGTGCATATACGCTGTAAACTGGAGCCCGGGGTTCGACTCCCTGCATCCGAGTACTTGGCTATTCGTTGAGTTGTCATTTTTTTTGCTGCTTTCGTGCTAAAATACTGCACACTTACCCAACTGTAAAGGATCGGAAAAAACTCGGATGATACAGATTGTTTGTTTCAACCACACTAATGCTGAAATATATCTCCACTTCCTCAACTCTAAATGGTCGCGAATACCTCGGATGTGGTGCACGGTGCACGTCGCCTTCTATCCGGTTTTGAAATGGTATGGCTTGTGATGCTGGGGTTCGACTCCCTGCATCCGAATACCCATTGAGAAGCGATTTTTTGGGTCATGTTCATGCTAAAATAATGGCCACTTATCCAGGCTCAGATGAAGGGACGTAAGTGGGATGTAGTGCACGGTGCACATCAACTGTCTCCAATCACTGTGGGGGTTCATGGATCTTCCAAACTCAAAAATGTCTTTGAAAGATGTCTACCATTTTCTTTAAACTTTCGGAGCTCAGGAAAAAAGGCCCAAGGATATCACGTGTTTTCTTCATTTTCCCTCTTGATAGAAGATTTTCTGAATAATAAAGTGGCTTTGCTGATTTTTTTCCGGTCGAGAATTAATTCTATTCATAATACCAAAGACTGTTTGAACAATGGGCCCCATTGTCCATCCAGTCTTTCATGCTCCAATAATGATTTCTTTGTCACACCAAGAAACAAATAGCATTTCAATCACCCTTTGGCCAGACCACTGAAAGTGACGCTGGCAAAAGGAGAAGACGATCTTACAATTTTCATCTTATCTTTGTTACAAGCCATAAATTTAATGAAACAGGTAGACTTACCCAGATTTCAATGAAAGAAATTATCTCAGATGTGGTGTAGGGTGCACACCAGCTCCTTATTGATACTGTTTGTCGATAAGTTTAGAGCTGAAAGCCGGGGGTTCGACTCCCTGCATCCGAATCCCCGGTGATCCGATTTTCTTTTCAAAGACATGTCCATGCTAAAATAATGCCCACTTCAGATGAAGAGAAGTAAGTCGGATGTAATGCACGGTGCACGTCAGCTCTCAGTACATTGTGGATATGTGTGCCACTGCTGAAGGACGGGTTTGACTCCCCGCATCCAAATAAAATAGCGAACATGTCATTTTTTTTACCACTCTATGCTATAATGCCCACTTGCCCAAGTTCGAATGGTAGAAAGTATCTCAAATGTCGTGTAGGGTGCACACCAGCTCTTGTTGCTCGTATGTCAGTAAACTTGGAGCTGAAAGCCGGGGTTCGACTCCCCGCATCCGAATAGCTTGGAGCGACTGCGCCGTTTTTTTGGGTCATGTCCATGCTGAAATATCTCCTACTCAGCACCGCTCACCGCTACGCACGTAATATGCCCAATTCCGATCACACTACGTCCTCACTACCCAATTTGGATATATTCCCCATTCTTTTAATTCCGTGCATTCCTGTTGCCATTCTAGCTGTATCCCTACGTCCCGACACATCCCCGTTCCCGGCGCTCCGCTTTCACTTTTTATATTACTCATTTTCCCCTTTCTTATTCATTTGTTTCCAAATTCCCCATTTTCAGTATATAAATTGTACTGTACCTACCAAAAAACAAGAGAGAATAGTTTTCCCATCGCCTCTCGTTCCCCGTCGTTCTAGCTCTCGGCCCTCGTCGTTGCTGTGGAGTCTCGCCTCGTCCTCGTGTTTTTGTTGCCCTCGTCGCCGCTCTGTTGCTTGTCCCCTCGTCGTCGGCGTTTCGTTGGTTTGAGCAAGCACCGAGCTTCGCTTAAACTTCCTCTCCATCTTCTTCATTTTACCTTCCTTCCTCCTGCAGCCGCATCAGAGGTTTTTATTTTTGGAGGTTTTTGCTCGCGCTCAGACAGTCGGTTGGTCCTATCACTCCCAAATAGTAGTGAATAACCGGATGTGGTGCATGGGGAACATCAGCTTCTCTTAATGCCTTACAGTCCATATGCAGGCTGAACAGCGGGGTTCGACTCCCTGCATCCGAATGAGTGGCAGTGGCTGAATTTCTTTTTTGAGCCGTGTCGTGTTCATGCTCAAATTTCCCAGCTCCAAATGAAGGGTATTAACTCAGATGTGGTGTACGGTGCACGCCAGCTTCTCATTAAAAAATGGATTCCCTGCGCCTTTGTAAATTCAAGCTGAAGGCCGGGGTTCGACTCCCCGCATCCGAATAATTCGCGTTTGAATTCTTTTTTTTGGTCTATGCTAAAATACTGCCCACTTACCTAGGTCCGAATGAAGGGAACTAAGTTGGATGTGGTGCACGGTGCACGTCAGCTACCACTATTTAAGGTGTATAGTGACGCTGTAAGCTGCAGCCCGGGGTTCGACTCCCCGCATCTGAATTCAGCGCGTCTCCTTGTTTTTTGCCCATTTCCTCGCTGAAATACCACATTTACCCAGCTCTATATGAATGGTAATAGCTCGGATGTGGTGCACGGTGCACATCAGCTTCGCATACGCCGGGATTTCGAGGACGTGAAAGGCTGAAGACCGGGGTTCAACTCCCCGCGTCCGAATTCGTCCTGCAATTCGAGTTTTTTTTGTCATGTCCATGCTGAAACATTACCCACTTACCCAACCTCAAATGGAGGGGGGTAACTCGAATATGGTGCATGGTGCACGTCAGCTTCTTGTAGCTCCGTCAAGACAAAGGTGGAAGCTGAACACCGGGGTTGGACTCCCCGCATCCGAATAAAATGGGCCGTTTTTGGGGGGGTGAAATACTGCTACAGTCGAAGCTGTCTTAACCCATACCCCTCGGTGGACCTACGGGGGTATGGGGTATCATAGCTTATGGGTTCCCAGAGGGTGTAAAAAAAAAATTCTAAAAAAATTCTGGGACCTACACACGCACTAGGTAGTCAGTAATAAACGAGTTAACCATTGCTCTGGACTCCTCCCGGCGTGTTTCGCGCCCGAATGTAGCTAAAACTCCCTCCAGATTGCGCGCAAACGGCTCATCCAGATCAGCGATGTATCGGCGCAAGGTTGAAACAGCCTGCAAGGCCTCCTTTCTGCTTGGCTTCGGGTCACCCTCCTCCTCGTCGTCACCACCATTTTTCTCCCGCTCCTCCGCCCCGCTCCGCATGTTTTGGACGGCCTCAAAAATCTCTTCATCGCTCGCATCCTCAATTATCCGCTCCTCCGGCATGTTCACAAGATCTTCGAGATCCACCATATTTTTCTTCGTCAAAACTCCAACTTCCTGCAAATCTGCCAAGACTTGGACAAGCGCTGCCTCAGCCGCTGCAACCGGATCGTCCTTGTCATCGGGTAAGGACTCAGGCCCTTTAGCGCTCCGGCCATCACAGGATTCTTCGTCATCAGAGTCACAACCGGTGAGAGGAGTGGGGAGAATGCCGGATTTTCGCCAGCAGTTGGCTATGGCATCCTTGGATACTTTATCCCAGGCAAGGTCTGCAAGCCGCATGGCCTGCAACTGGTCGATGTTGTAGATTTCTGCGGGGGTGACACCCGCGTCGTAACGATCCAGAGCGCGCTGCATGGAGAACCGCCTAAAATGAGCCTTGAAACAGCGGATGATACCGGCGTCCAATGGTTGAACATGTGCCGTAAGATTCGGTTCCAGGTTCTCCACCCGGATGTTAGTTAGACTCTTTGGTGGCTTGTGCCCGCTGAAGTTATCCTGCAGAAGGAGGATGTACCGGTTCTGATCGCGCATCTGTTTATCGACCCCCTTTATCCATTCTCTGTAAATTTTTGTTGTCATCCAAGCTTTCGCATTGTTACGATAGAAAAATCCCAGTTGGGCACCGGTTTTTTTCTTGAACGCGCGGGGACGCTCCGCTTTGCCGATGATCAGGGGCTGTAATTTCTCCGTTCCGTCGGCATTGGTGGTGAGTGCGTAAGTGATGCGCTTCTTGATTCCTTTTACACCGGACATCTGTCGGTCCATTAAACCGCGATCAGGGGGCATGCTGGATAAAAATAAATCAATGGTAGAGATGACTGCAAGAAAATGCATCACTTACGCCCAAAAAAGGCCAGTCTCATCCATATTAAACACATCGTTGAGATCATAGCCTTCGTAGAAGATGATTTTCTGAATGCGCAATCGCTCCTTCGCAATTTCAACGGGATTTGCTGAGGCAGCTTCACCGTGGCGTTTCAGCTCCTTCAAACCGCACCGCTTCTTCAAAGCCGCAAGCCATCCATCGCTAAGCGCAAGGCGTTCGCTCTCAGGAATTCCGACGAGGTCAGCAAATCGGGTCCATTTCTGACGAATAATTTCTCCATTGAGATGCACACGGTCTCGCATGGCCTTGGCGATCCAGAGAACCATCATCTCCTCAACCTCCGGATGCTCCACCTGCTTTAGCCGCTTCGCATTCCCGGCTTGAGCCCCCTTTTCCTGCGCTTCTGTCCACCTCTCTCGCCATGAGTCCTCATTCTTGATCCAATCGGAAACCAAAGGCTGTTTAATGCAAAGGTTCGGGTAGATGGCAGCAAAATGGATGGCAGTTTTCTGTTGGCTCGGCTTCGTCTGGCGATGATGCCAGTCCAGAATTTCGATGCGTTGTGCAAGCGTGGCGTTCTCCTTTTTGGTAAAAACTGGGGCTGGGGCCTTCTTCTCTTGCTTCTTTGGTGGTTTGCGCTGCATAGGCCCTGCACAGACCGACATTGGCCAAACCGTAACTTCACAAAAGTAGGAACATACTTTTTCTCTTGTTTGAGCCCGCTGTAGGTTCTTTTTCTCTTTCCCCTTCCTGCCCTCCACCCAGCTCCTCAAGCTTCTGAGCCAAATCTCTGTCCTTTGAATTCAGACGTGCCAAGCCGCGCTCGTAATCAGATGCGCTGTCGAGATTGACAATCAGCGCGTCCTCGTCTACGTGATTGGCATCGTGATCCAGCCAAGCCTCATCTGCAGTGGAAATCTTCTCCTTCCTTCCAAGACGCTGTGTCAGGTCATCTCTTCTCTGTTTCGCACGTTCCTTGAGTACAGCAAGACCTTTCCTGAGGCGTGAAAGAGGCGACATAATGAGTGCGTAAATTTTTTTGCCAGCCAATCACAAGCAAACTGTGATGGCCGAACCGCATGCCGACTCCTCCGAGTGCGGATTGGCAAAAAAATCGAAAAAAATGGGGGGAATTATGGGTTATGGATCTTCGAAAAGGTATGGGTTATGGGTTACTGGAATATTATGGGTTTTAATTGGGAACCAAGGTGGTGGACACCCAAAAGTATGGGTTTGAACAAATTATGGGTTACAATAGCCATGGGTTAAGACAGCTCCGACTGTACTTCCCTAGCTTCAAATGGCATTAGATATCTCGGATGTGGTACCTCAGTTGCCACTAAACGGAGCCGATCGCAGTACTGCTGAAGAACGGAACCTCCGCATCCGAATAAAAGCTGGGTTTCTTTTCTTTTCTTTTTTTGTCCATGCTCAAGTAATGCCCACTCACCCAGGTTGAGAAGGTATGGAATACCTCGGATGTGGTGCACGTTGCACATCAGCTTCGCATTACACGTTTTTATCTCTAAATTTCTGTAAGCTGAAGATCAGGGTTCGACTCCCCGCATCCGAATGTTCGAATAAATGTTGAATCTTTTTTTTTATGTTCATGAATGCCTACATACCCAGCTTCAGAAGATAAGGAACAACTCATATGTGGTGCACGGTGCACGTTCTAATAGTAATAAGTTGTGTTGCCGGTTGAATCTCTTCGACCCCCCCAATCCGAATAAGTGGCAGCCGTAGACTTTTTTGCTTTTTGTTGAAAACCCTGAAAGATCTTCCCCCTACTGCTCGCCGAGCCCGAAAATAGATGTTCGACGGAGGTACCCAAAAACTCTCCGTCCTGGCAGATTACATGTACAAAGTTCGGATGTATTCATTTTATAAATAGAGTCGCAAAAAATGTACCCTAAGCAAAACTAAGGCTAGTGGCGCTCCTTGCAGCTGCTAGACCGCGCTTGATGAAAATGATAGTGATAAAAAACCGGCGGAAATGGATGTGGTCAAGAAAAATATTAATAGGTGAATTTGAAGGAGGAAATGAGGACGAACCTCGATTAAAGCGCTCTGGAATTTGTGTACCATGGGCCGGACACGTCGGGTCAAACCAACATCGCGCCAAGATACGCCCAGTCGTCGAGATTTCGAATCCAGCGCGAACTTTGAGGTCGGAGAAGCGCGGCAAAGCGGGAAGAAAAGTGACGAAAAAATACGCGCCAGGTCCGCGGGAAAGCGCATAAGATCAGCGGCCTAGAATTTTTGAATTCCTGATCCCGGGCAGATTTCAAAGGCGGGAAAGGGTGGCAACTCGAAAAATCGAGTCAGAGCTTGTACACCCGCGAAGCTGGAAGAAAAAACCGAAATGAAAGATTGATTGAAAATTTTATAGTCGGAAATCTTCGGTCTTTCGCTGCCTTTTGAGACCGGAGGCCGTTGAGAGAGGAAGAAATATGTTGAAGTCGCAGGCCGCGAAGCGGGCCAAAAAAGGAAAAAGGAAAAACGCGCAAAGTCGGTAGAATGGCACGCCAGATCGGTAGAGAGAAGTCCAGAACTTGATTTGAAAGTTGGATTCGACGCGCGAGGCCGCAGGATGGTGAAAAAAAATGAGGTGTGAGTGTTTGAAGCGGGTCTTGGCAGAAGTCGCGGCAAGGCGGGAGATTGAATTGGCATTCGTAGGCGTGCAAATTACGGGTTTGAGCCGACACTGTAGCGGGACTTCTACCACTGTAGTCAGAAACGTTGGAGAAATCGGCTGTGTCGGTCTCGGGAGAGCGATACCTTTATTTAGAAATGCGTGATTTGAGAAGCCGCAATAGGTTGCGTCCTTTGGGCAGATCAAGTCAACAGAACAGGAAATGCTTCGTAGGTGGTGGAAAGCCCATAGCTTGAACTGGCATTTCGTGGCGCTAGAGACGCGGTATTGTTTGCGGGGTGTCCAAAAATTGAAAGCGGGAGGGACGGTGTGTGTGCCAAGGGCGGGGCAAAGAGCGCGGGAAGGGTTGGGTGTGGAGGGCGAGCGCGGGCAGAGCGGGTTTGAGTGCGACGTTCCTAGATCAACAAGCTCGCTCGAGGAAGAGGGGATGGACGAGATGGAGTGCGAGGTGTCGGCCACGGCGAACAGCGCCGTAGCGTCGTCGTCCGTGTCCACGCGCGCGCCGCCCCGCCCCGTGAACGCCGCGCGGTAGTGCCGCGGCAGTACGGGGTCCCGGCGGGAGCGAGCGAACGGGAGCAGGCGCCGGCCGAAGACGCTCTTCTTGGCGCGGCAGCGGGATCGGAGGGACGGCGGAGGTGCGAGCGGCGGGGTCGGCGGCGGTCTGCAGGAGGGCGATGCCGGTGCGCCGGGGAGGACATGGGGGAAGGAGCAGAAGGGCGAGCGAGGAGCGTGGTACTACTTACCTGCTACCGCGAGGACGCCACGACGAGGGCCGAAACATGTGCAAATACTACCGGCCCGGCTTGCTCTCGACTCTCATGTGCTCTGGTTCAAATAGAAGCAAGTAACTCGGGTGTGGTGCAGGGTGCACATTGGCTTCTGGTAAAATGAATCCAGGCATTGTGAGAGCTGAAGAACGGGGTCCGACTCCCTGCATCTGAATACGCGCGTCTTTCATTTTTGCCTTTCTCTCCTGTCGCAAAAAGCCTTTGTCGGAGATAAGGCAATATAGGTCAATATAAGGCGGTATAAGTCTGCAAGATGATTGGGGGGTTTATAAGCTTCAAAATTGCGCTATCCTCAGTTATAACCACTTACGGGACTTATAAGTACTATAAGGTGTTACAGTGCTTATAGGAGCTTATAGCTGCCTATGAGTTGGGTCCTTTGCCGATGCCCAATATCGCGAATCGTTCCCACCCTCATTCCCACATCCCACAGAATTCAAGCAATAATTGAAACGAATGCATTCACACTACGCAATGATACAGCAGGCAATACTATTAATACTATTGATGAAGCCTAACTGTTGTCATCGATTGCTGAGAGTGCGGGTGTACTTACCGATGGCGGTAGGGAGACAGAGGTGGGGTCTGGTATGAGTATGAATGAGCACACATGCAACCAAAGAGTGAAGGAAGGCTCACCTGAGCATTGTGGTGGCCCTGCAGTGGAGCGCACATGGAATCAGACGGGTGAGACTGATAGAAAACTACCGACGTACACTGCACAGTGCTTCTGACGACAGATTCGGAGCGGGGTGGTGATGGGAGACAGGCGAGGGGGCGGCGAGACGAGGGGAGGGTGGTGGTGGTGGTGGTGGTGGTGGTGGTGGTTGAGAGCGAAGAGAAGTGGAGTCACAAAGTCACACTGAGGTGTGATTTATAATGCCAGAATGGCATGACATCATTTACTCCACAAGTTATCCACTGCCTCTGGCGCTCTCCCCGAACTCTTTGCTACCCCTACTATGTCTAAACTACGTCGTTTCGACTCGGATACCACGCACGTCTCCGACTCTGAGCCGGAGAGACAGGCAGCTCGAGCAAAAATGTGCAAATCTCACAAGAGTCGGACCACCACTGGCATGTCCTCTGCGCGCTGTCGAACGCGGCCACCATTCTTAGACCGCTCCAACTTCCAAGAGGACTGCCGATCCGCAAAGAATGAACGAAATTTGAGCGTGGAAGCGCGCTTGAGCCGGATTGAGAGGGAGCTTGCAGATTTGCGCGCGCAGCGGCATGCTGCACCGAAAGGTGTGTCGCAGTTCCGTTCATAAATATATTTGCTTACATCCGGTCGGATCGAGGACATTGCGCTGGTCCGGCTCTTCAAGAAATCCACCTGGCGGCCCAAAACTTTGTGGAAGAATTGCCGAATTTTCGAAGACGGTCGCACAATCTTCATCTTACCTCGATACTTTATCCGCGGATCTCACATGATTAATTGTTTTGGGTGCAGTAGAGAGGATCATACATTCTATTTGGATGATGTAGCTGACTTTGACTGGCTGTTGCGCGCTGGTAATTAATAAATCATGAAATTGTTAAAATTTGGTTGTCTGAGCACCGTCTAAAGCCCTCGATGCGGCAATATATTACTAGATAATCAGGAAAGTTATAAGCACTTATAAGGGGTTATACCCCAACTGTAAGTCCCGTATAATTTAGCTATAACCGCCTATAAGCCTGTAAGCCTTTGTAACCCCTTATAGGCGATCAGGCCCTTTTGCGACACCTGAGTTCGCCAAAATGCTACTACTGAAGGCTATTAACTCGGGTTGTGGTGCACGGTGCACGGCAGCTCCCAGTATGAATTTATGATCCAGTGAATGCAGGGTTCGACTCCCCGCGTTCGAATAGTTCGCATTTGAGTTATTTTCTTTGGTCCATGCCAAAATGCTGCCCACTTACCCAGGTTCGAATGAAGGGAACCAAGTTGGATGTGGTGCACGGCGCACCTTGGCTCTAAATAACTCCATAGCAAGCCTGTAGGCTGAACGCCGGGGTTCGACTCCCCCCATCCGAATGATAGAAGCAATGTGGTTTTTTTTGGCCACATCCACGCAGGATGTTTCAGGTTCAAATAGAGGAAATAGCTCGGATGTGGTGTACGGAATACCTCAGCTCCAGGTCATCTGGATTCACTTACCATGCTGAAAATGGGGTTCAACTCCCCGCATCCGGATTCTATATGTCTCCATGTTTTTTGCCCATTTCCTCGCTGCAATACCACATTTACCCAACTCCATATGAATGGTAATAGCTCGGATGTGGTGCATGGTGCATATCAACACCTTGTGGTACATTTTGAATTCGCTTGATGCTGAAGAACGGGGTTTGACTCCCTGCACCAAATGCGTTCGGCCTTTTGGTGTCTTTTTTTTTTCATCCATGCTGAAATACTGCTACTTCCCTATCTTCAAAAGAAGTAAGGTAAGTCGGATGTGGTGCACGGTGCACATCAGCTAGCACTATCTTGTTTGTATACTGATGCTGTAAGCTGGAGCCCGGGGTTCGACTCCCTGCATCCGAATAAGATGGCAGCCCCGATTCATTTTTGGGGCATGCCATGCCAAAATAATGCCCACACTGCTGGGGTCCACACATCTTTGTGAACCAAAAACGAGGTTCAAAGATGTCTACTTGTTTCATTAAATTTAGGGCTTGTAACAAAGATAAGATGAAAAATGTAAGATCATCTTCTCCCTCTGCCAGCATCTCTTTCGGTGGTCAAAATCTGGCCAAAGGGTGACTGAAATGCTATTTGTTTCTTGGTGTGACAAAGAAATCATTATTTGTTCAAACAGTCTTTGGTATTATGAATAGAATTAATTCTCGGCCGGAAAAAAATCAACAAAGCTGCTTTATTACTCAGAAAATCTTCTATCAGAAGGGAAAAATGAAGAAAACACTTGATATCCCTGGCCTTTTTTCCTGAGATCCGAAAGTTTAACGAAAATGGTAGACATGTTTCAAAGACATTTTTGAGTTTGGAAGATCCATGAACCCCCGCGGTGCCACTTACTCAGGTTCAAAGGATAAAGAAAAACTCGGATGTGGTGTATGGGTGCACATCAACTTCACCTGCCAAGTCCCCAAATCAAGGGCTGAAAGCCGGGTTTGACTCCCTGCATCCGAATGAGTTAGTGAAGCAAATTTTTTTTTTTCAATCATGCTCATGCTGAAATACCTCATGTTTTAAGAATAAAGGGAACTCAGATGTGATTCACAGTGCACAGAGGCTGCTTGTAGATCGCGCCAGAGGTATCTATAGGGGGTTCAACTCCCCGCATCCGAATCGCAATGAGTGCATGAATTTCTTTTTTCGTCCTGTGGATGCTCAAATATTTCCACTTTCCCAACTCCAATTGGTAGAGAAGAACTCGGATGTGGTGCACGGTGCACATCAGCTCTCATACGTGTGTCACTGCTGAAGAACGGGTTCGACTCATTTTGACAATTCATTTTTTTTGCCACATCCATACTAAAATAATCCTACTTATGTACCCAGCTTCAAAGGGTATGGCATATCTCGGATGTGGTGCACGGTGCATATCAGCTCATTGGGCTTTCAAACGATTGTCAGGTTAAGGACCGGGGTTCGACTCCCCGCATCCGAATGAGTCAGGAATGTGTCTTTTTTTTGTCTTCTCTCCTGAGTCCGCGAAAAGACCGCATTCAATACCCAAGCTCAAAGGGTAGGAAAGAACTCGGTTGTAGATGGCACACCTCAGCTCTTAACTAGTCAGTTTCTCATAACAAAACTGAAGACCGAGGTTCGACTCCCCGCCTCCGAATAGTGAAGTTTAGAGCTACTTTTATTTTAATGGTGCAAAAATGCTAAGATATCTCTCACTTATCCAGCTGCAAGTGAATGGTACTGACTCGGATGTAATATACGGCGCACATCAGCTATCACTACGTTGTTTTGGACGGTTTGAGTACTGCTGAAAACCCGCCTCGTATCCGAATACCCGGTGAAGTGGTTTTTTTTCTTCAGTCATACTCACATTTATGATATAAGAAAACGTTGCCAGATAAACGTCGTTACATCAATCATCTTCGCACGATCGCATCACGGACAGCGCTTAGGCAAGGAAAGATCGGCTGCCGTCATGATTACATAATATAACGTACTCGCCGAAAAAGGAGAAAAAATAGGGGGACCGCGGCACAAAAAAGGTGCGACACGGAAAAACCTCGAAAAATCCATCTGTTGCCGAAAAAGGAAAAAAAATCTGACACAGGGCACCCTGGCAGAAAAGAAAAGCCTGGTACTTGGCAAGGACTCGTTGAGAGATTCGTGAGACCAACGACGCATAAAGGAATCCAAGGCATTGGGGGAAAGATGCGGGCTGGCAAGAGACAGACCCAAAGAGAGACTAAGTATAACCGCTGAACTAACGACGGGGCAGGCGTACAGCAGCGGGAGAGAAAAAAGATAGACCTGTTCCCGTAAAATGCGAGACAAAATTTGACAAAATGCGTCATCATTTTCTAAAGTATTGATGGGTGGGTAAGTACCCTCGGCGGCAACACTGGTGAAATCCCAAAGCGGATAACCTTGGAATGCTTCTGCAAGCTTACACCCGCTTACACCAATAAAAACACAAAAGCCGAGTAGGCCGCTTAGGGCAGTTCAGGGTGGACCTGATCACCGCCTCTTCGCTTATAGTCGCTTAGCGGTGTTGGTAGGTAGGTAGGTAGGTAGCATTACACGGCACGGTCCCACTTAGGAACGCCGGGGCCAGGAAGTATCCCGGTGTACTAGTTACAGGTTCTATGTACACCTTCGTCCCTGACTTCAATATACCTTCCAAGCCGAGCTCGCGAACCAGTCTCCTGTCCCGCTGTAGAACCTAGCCGATATATCGAAGCAACAAACACGTAAGTAACAGTAAGCACATTTTATCTTCCTTTCAAACATCTGTCCTGAAAACAGGTATTGCGTAGAACACTTCGAGGACTTCATATGCGAATTTTGCCACGAGGCCAATAGAGGCGCGTTCATAAAGCATGACCTTGAAGAACTCAACATTGTCGAGTTCATCAAAAGACCGGCGTAGTGCGGGAACACAAATAAAGAGATGTTCAAGAAAAATGCTCCTGAGTGCAACGACATCCACAGATGCATCACAAGCTAGTAGGGCATGTTCAGGAGTTTCAACCTCAATTTTGCAGAATCTACACACACGTCCATCACGCTCTATTCGTGGAAGCATATGATCGCTGTATCGCAGAATTTCGACGGCTAGTAAATGAGTTGACAGCAGAAGAGAAGTCAATGCTTCTCTGTGCTTCTGTGTCTTCACCATAAACAGGTAGTGCCGTAGTCGTAAAGTTTGCGGTGCAGGAGGTTTGTCCTTCTGTGGCTCACGTCGGCCCTGAATAAGGTAGAGTTTGTCCGATGAGTCTACTGCTTCTTGTAACCAATCCAACATGAGAGCGTCCACAGATTTCGCATATGCCAGAATAGAATCTGTTGATGCATTTACGAGTTCAGGAGCAGGGCATGTGAATGGAAGCTTGGATGATGCCAAGATCAGATCTCTAGCCCAACATTTCTTCTCTTGCGCCGCTAGCTCCAAGGAGCTGTTCAGTGCGGCCCGTGCAAAATGTGAAGATGGGAGGGAAAGGAGGTACTGCAGGTATCCAAGGGCAAGGATGAAGCGTCGAACTCGGAGGGGAACTATGCCAGTTTCTGTATAGAGTGGAACCACCATGGACCGGCCGTGGACATTGAGGATTTGTCGAAGGAATCTGATCTGAACGTCACAGAGCTGTTTAACGTGTACATCTTCGCAGTCCGGAGATATTTCGCATCCGTGCGTAAGATGGCAGTCCACGCGTGCCAAGTATAGCATCTTCAGTTCTTTTGGAGTCAGGCGTCCCGTGGAGTCTTCAATGGCCATGATCCGATGCACGCAGTAGCGAGCGGTACCTGCTTTCGCTTTATAGTGTGCTTGGAGAATATTTTGAGTGTCCGTGCGGAAATTAACTCCGACATATTTTTCTTCATCAGTAATAGTCAGGACTTGATCACCAAGTTTAAACACGGGCGGAGGGTAGGGTGCAGAACCAAAAATCAAGATCACTGTTTTCAACATGTTGATCAGAATGAAATTGACGGCACACCACCGTTGGAGAGTGTTCAGTTTTACTTGAAGTCCGCGCGTAGATAACGATACCAGCAAGATGTCATCCGCTTGAGCCATCATAGCCATCCGCACGGTGTCGAGAAAAATGTCATCGGGATCTGGGAGCATTGCCAAATCTGCCATGAATAAATTCCAGAGAACCGGGGAAGCAGGATCCCCCGTCAGAAGTCCGATTAAAGCTTTAAAGTCGTGGGAATTGGAGTCGCCGTGTTTGACGTAGTAACCCATGCGTAGGTAAGTTTTCCGGAGCCAATCGGAAACAGGTCCCGCCATTCCCATTCGTGCGAGCTTGAGCCATAGAGTACAGTGGTCCGTCGATGGGAACGCGTTCGTTGCATCGATGGCAGCAACGTACAGGGTCACTCCACGTGACCGCGCCCAGTCACGAATGCACCGCAGAACAAAAGGATTATTGTTTGTTCTGTACTTTGCTCTAAAGCCGTTCTGCCAATCTGGGATCAAGCCTCTCGCCTCTGCCCATTGGGTGATTCGACGGTGAATAAGCAATGTCAGCACTTTCAGCAAGCAGCTTTCCAGGGCGATGATCCTATAACTGTCGGGACTAGTTCCAGGTTTTCCCCTCTTCAGTAGGCCAATTATGACAGTTCTCAGCCATAATGTGGGGTTATCGCCTCTCTTTACGCATTCATTGCACAGATGCACAAGATCCTCATTGGGAATTTCCACTACATCTGCGTAAGTGACGGCATCTTCTCCCGATGAGCTTGCAAGAGAATTTTTCCGTAAGTGTTCTTTGACCCAGGCTCCATCATCCTCGCCCCATTCCGCTGAGAAGAATTTTTCAGGGGTAGGGTCGTCTGAGATCTCAGGGATCATCGAGGCAAGTGTCTGATTAATTTTGTGCTGGATTTCATCAAATGCGTTAGGAAGCACTGGCGGCGGGTTCAGGCGTTTTTCGAAGACTCCTCTCAGGTCTTCTGCCGTTACCGCTATGGGGGTTGGTTTCGGATCCGCCAGGCGTTTAATGTCCGTCCAAAACGCCGCAGTTGATGCCGGATGTAAGACTTTCTCTCGGTTCGCGCTCTTGATTGCACCCCATTTGTCTCGTCCGCGGTGTTTCTCTGGGAATTGTTTTCTCTGGAGAGGTGCCTTTTCCATCGAGTCGTTTTTGACCTTCGTTGTGACTTTATCAAGAGCTAGTGGCACGAGATTTGTCACTGGGGCTGGGTTTGAGAAGGTAGGAGTATTATTGGCGCGTGGTAAGAGAGTCGCCGCTTTTGCGAGGCCCTTTGCACCTTCCAGGTGACCGTTAACAGCGAGTTTTTTTATGTGCACGAAATCCACTGGGGCGGAGCGTTCCTTGATGAGGTTGCTCATAACTTTTAGTAGGTCTGCATTTGTGCATCTCCAGCCGCACGCGTCGTTTCTAAATGCGTAGAATTTCGCGGCCCGGATAACGTATTCGGAACGGGTCGAAATTTCGAGTGAGCGGTCCGGCGGTGCTTGTTGAAGTGCCTCGATTACTGACACTATTTCCGCGCGCGCATTAGTTTGCGAGCCCCACACGCGAGTGGATCGATTTCGACTGGCATTTAGGCCCCAGTAAGTCCCCGCGCCTGCTGATGCGAAGTGCCTTCCCGCGTTTGTGCAAGCCCCGTGGGCGACAACTTTAATTGGGGCAGTCACGTAGTACACGGAACCAAACAGAGTGAATGTCTTCTTCGCCTCGTCCTTGCCTGCTTCTAGAGTTTTGATTAACAGCCTGTCCAGCTCTGTGTTCTCTGGCAGCACGACATCGACTTTGCGACGTTTCGCGCGATGAGACACCTGAGTGTAATTCAGAGTGATTTCCATGGCTATTTCGGCTACCAGGGCAGCGTGGTCGGCCTTTCCCTCTCGTGGCAGTACCGTGAAGGTTCGGACATCATTGTAGATACTTCTGGAGCATAGCATGTAGTCGATCACGGTCTCTCTTGTCCCTTGAAATGATGTGCAGTTCCCGCTACTCGGGCCAAACCTTGCGACACCGCTAATGAACATTATATCGTAGTCTGCGCTTAGTTTGCATAGCCATTTTCCACGGGTGGAGGAAGGCTTTGTGTCCTTCGAATAGCGCGGAGGGTCGAGCGGGTATGCCTTCTGAGATTCGGTACGTGCGTTGAAATCTCCACCCTCGAATACATCGAAATGAGCAGCGTAAGCTAATGCTAGGGAGCTCGCAAGGGAATTGCACGGGTCTGAGTCTAAATTACCCGCCCATGGCGTGGATTCCGGAAGGATGTAGATATTATAGACTAGGAGATTATGAATCTGTATGACCATGAAGTCCGGACCAGACAGGTCCTTCCGTAATTTAAATGGGAGCTGAGTGGATATAATTGTGGCTACACCTCCCCATGATTGGGAAAAAGAACTCTTTGGGCGTCGTGTGTGAGAGAGAATAGTATAGCCGGGCGGCAGGTCAATAGTATCATGTTGCGTCGGGCGGAGATGAGTCTCCT